AACTCGCTTTCTTCCAGGATAATGCCTCTCGGTTTCTGTTTGATCCACAATGTGTGGACGACAAAAGGAAGCAAGTATGCTTTCATCGGGTTCTCAGCTAATTTTGTCGACAAGCAGTGGAACTATAAGACCACTCATCTTACGCTCAAACTGGTAGCGTGGAACCATTACGGTGTACTTTTTGGCTCAACCAGTGGCTCACTATCTTATCAAGCATGGCCTTCACAAGCAGATGAGTTTTTTTTGTTTATCTATTTCACCTTTATCATTTGTTATCGTTGTATTACCATACTGACATCTGTTTGCTTAAAATTTTACTTATTAGCTCAAACCACGGATTCTGGTTCAAACAACTACACGATGGCCATCGAACTTGCATCTGTCTTGTCTGGGGCAGAGGATCCGGTCAATTGGGACGCTGAAGCTAATCACATTCGTTGTTATGCCCATAAGTTAGGGCTTGTTGTTAAGGAAGGACTCAAGGCTCTCGGAATCAAGACATCCAAAGTGAAGCCGTCAAACCCAAACAACATCTCAATGCCGATTCCGATCATTCAATTTGAATCAGGTAATGGTGACGACGAGGACCATTATAGCTCAGATGAAGATGATCATGATCTCGACCCTCAAGCAACACCACCGGCGCTCCGCTCCGCTTCGCTATATTTCAAAATTTTACGAGCGGAGCGTCTCAGCGCTATCATAAGATGCTAATCGCTCCACTATTCTTTTTGAGGCGCTATGACTTCTGAGAGCGGTGCGATCTTTGAGATCGCTCCGCTTCGCTATGGGTAAATCTCAAGTTTAAAAGCGCCTGAAAGCGCTGTCGGGCATAGTTTTACTAAATCAGATAATGAGAATAAAATTTGACTCCAAAGTGGATGTAAAAGATGAGTAGCTATAAATAAGATTGCAAGTGAAGGTGTATAACGATATGTACCACGATCCTAAGGTTGACCAATTCTTGATGTCGATAAAGATGACAATAAGCTGAACTTCGTAAACTTAACAAAGTCCCATACTTCAACTTATGATTTCAATCATGATAAACTGAGTCAACAATCAAGCTCAATCAAAGTAAGAAGCTAGGAGGTGAAATGAGTTTGATGAACCTTTTCATCCTTTCAATTGGTAAACAATTGGCGATTAAGAAGTCTCGTTTCTATTCTCCACAAAACCTGTGTATGTCACTCCATTTGATCTAATTTCAATGATGATGATCGCATAATCTACAGCTCAACAAAACAAAGACTGATCAATACAAGATGGTGGATCAGATAGAATTCAACCCTCTTACATGATCTTTAATGATCTATCATTATCTGATCAGTTTCTTTTGACCATCTTTCAAGTTAGCAAGCTTTTAAACCAAATCCCAAATCCTACTTTTTTTGTCTTCTTGAATTTATATTTTCTTATCAATCTCTTTCTCGATTTTTTTCGATCGATTCTTTAATTTGATATGATGTTTGAATCAAACTCATCATTTGTGACATTTACGGTTATAACGATCTATCCAGATGATTTGAACATTGGTTTAATTGGAATGCTACTTTTCCTAAGATCAATTCAGTATCAGCTCGTAATGAATCTGATTGATTACTTGCTAATCTTTTTTCTAATGATCTTGATCGAGTTTTGAGTATCTTCAAATCTACCTATCAATCAATTGATTCAATTTGTCCATTAGAAATCATTGAAGTAGGTTGAATCGGTTGACCAACTAAAGCACCTTGGCATAAACAAGACAAAAGGTATTCAATGGTTTAAAACTAGTAGCTAAGAAAAATAATTTAATCGTTGATGGATCAATTGATTTGGAATCTGGATTAAGACTTGAATGTACAAACTCGAGTAAACAAATCAAAACAGCTTCAGGTTTTGTTCCAAAAGGTGTAGATGTAAGTTGCTGGACACAATTGGCCAATCAGAACCAGTAGATTGAGTATGGGCCTTGAAGTCTTGACAAATCGATCAAAGAACAAACAATGATGGCAGTTAGGACTCCCTGCGCTCTATGGTTTGCTATGGGACCTGGGTCACCATGGCGCTAAGCGCTTGTGGGCGCTGTGGCACCGCATAGCACTGCGGAATTGCGCTATAGAGTGCGGATGCAAAAACCGCTATCTTTATGGGGGGCAGGGCCATAGCTGTAGCGGTGGTCAGGACCCGCTATCCGGCCAGACTCATAGCACGGGCGGGTTGCGCGCTCCGCTATCGCTCCGCTGCCGCTATCTCGGGCGGAGCGCCGGTGGTGTTGC